ATATATATTAGTGAATTCTTATTTATTTACATATCTAACATTAATTTTTTTTATATTTATTTATATGACAACCACATAATCAGATTGCGCCTCGCATGAGCTCGGTGGCTAGGAAGCTTGACTCGTGCTTAACATAATGTGAAATACCCACGACACTCCAAGCGGCATCGTTGAAAGTGAGATGGATGACCTATAAGTGAGCCAACTTCTCCCAAAGTGTGAAAGTGTCCATCCCCGTGCATATAATGTGGGGCAGATACTTACAAGTGTGGGCACTTAAAGAGGCATCACAAATGAGGGTGCTCCACCCTCAAGGAGGCACCCCAAGCATAGATACTAAAAGAGACATCCAAACATGTCACATGCAAGACATACAAGACAAAAATACTTAACATATAATTAGACATCGCAGACATTAAGTTAAAATAAGATTGTCATACATATGAAAATAAGCATACAATATGATGCAAAAGTAAACAAGCATGCAAGTGATTAATCGATCGAGTCGTGACGACCGATCGAATTAAAGAGGATGGGTCGATCGATCTGAGACTATCGGTTGGACCTAAAAGAATGGGTAATCGGCCTGGGGCAGCCATTCAAACCCAATAAATAGGACGATCGGGTCGAGGCAGGCAATTAAGCTCGAAGAGCGGGTGATTGACCTGAGACGACCAATCAAACCAAAAAGAAGGGGTAATTAACCCGGGATGACCGATCGAGCTTAAACAGGATGATCGACATAGGACGACCAATCATACCCAAAAGAAAGGGTAATCGGACCGGGATGACTGATCACACCCAAAGCGAGTGATCAACACATGGCGATTGATTGAACCCAAAGGATCGGGTGATCGGAACGGTATGACCTATCGAACCCAAAGTGGGTGATCGACATGGGGTGGTTGATCGAACCTGAAAGCACGGGTGATCAGTCCGGAGCTGCTAATCAAACCCAAAGGATCAGGTGATCGGGTTGTGACGACCAATCGATCTCAAAGTGGGTGATCGATACAGGGCAGTCGATTGAACCCAAAATAGCGAACGATCGGTCTGATCAACCCAAAGCAGGTTATTGACACGGGTTGGTCGATCGAGCCCATAGTGATAGGTGATCGACCCAAGAAGACAGATCAAA